AGTATTTTGATGCCTAGTTCAGTTTTCATGAGATTTGAATAAGCCTTTTTACTGACAAAGTTATCGATAGTTAAGACTTCAACATTAATTCAAATGTATTACTTCAATAAAAAAGAAAAAAGAATGATTTTACATCATAAACGGCAAATCCTATAGGTAAATTCTCGATACCCAAATGTTTGAGCTCACGTCGATACTTTTAAAGAATTATATCGGATTTCTTACTTTTCATTCTTTTCCGTTTTCAAAACCTTTTGGTCACAACTGTTGACAGTCAATAGAGTATATAAAAAAATTCTAAAAAATTTCGAAGAAATTTAGATATTAAAAACTTTTGATTGAGGCAACAAATGGTATGTTATCGGTTGTTAACCAATGACAATGATAGAAGAACTAATTATTATCATACATATAAGCCAACCAGATATTAAGCTTTGACCGTACTAATCTCCCCGTAAATTTTCTGAGCCAAATGTGGCTTCAATTTTCATATGGTAGTTTCCTGATCCTTTTACATCATTTTTTCTGTTTTTTCAGTCACTCTCTTCGAGAACTTCGTAATTGTGTTCTTTTAATAAAACTATTTTGCATCGAGAAAAGGACAAATCGACGAATTTAATTTGATGCCATAAAATTTTTCTCATTAGCAAATGATGAATTCAACACTTGAAGCTTCAACGCTTAGACTTAAGGCTTGATCGAAAAAAATATTCTTTTTCCACGATTGGCATTTCTGTTATTGTTGCTGTTAACATGTCTTTTTTTATTTTACCTCGATCTTGGCCATGGTCAAGTTAATTGTGTCTGATAGATACACTGGAAGGATAAATAACTGAAGTTGTCACCTACCGTAAGTATCCTGTAACATAAACAATTTTTGCTTTTTCTTTTCTGCTTTCGATTCAGGTATTATGGCAGGTGTGAAACGGAAAAGCTGATTCAACGCCAACACGAAAAATTAAATCAGATCAAATGGGTGAAATTTGATTTCGAAAGCTTGAACGTATTCGGCATGTCTCAATGTTGCAATTAAACAAATTTCCATAATTCATCGAATATACTTTTAAAAATGATGGAGTGCAAAAAATCTTCACAAAAGATTTCGTAATGATATGCGAATTCTGCATAACTAACCAGTAAGGTTGATTTGCTAAAGCTACTTATCGGAAACGGAATCTGTCATGTGACAATTCATCAAATGTTTGCTATGATCATAACAGCCTTTGAAACTATTTAACTCAGTTTTGAAACTATCAGTATTCAGTCCCTTAAATAACCAGTCAATTTTTTCTGAAGGTCAAGAAAAATGCTATCCCACAATACGTTTTTTGACTACCTCTTAAAGGGATAAGCAGTGCATGACTAATGCGCAATATAGATTCATGCACTTCAAATTCTTTTGAATTATGCTTTTTTTCGAATATTATGAAGAATTGTATGGATTCTCTGGGTTCTGGAAATTCGATTTGTTATGTTCCAAAGACTAGACCATTTAATTTCTTTGCAAACCTAAGCAAGTAGTTGTAAAATTAATTCTTGGAATGTCCACGAGTTATTGATGTTCTTGAATTAACTTAACCAGTATTCCATGTTTATTCTTATCGTTTCATTGATTAAAATAAATAAAAAAAGTGAAACGTCTCTACTAATTAAATTATAATTAGTACGCTCGAAAAGAAATTGAAAGACACAGGAATAAAGTATTTCATTAAAAGTTCAATATTAGATTTATTATTCTATGTGATATTCTGCTGTCTAAAATTTCTTCGTAAGCATAATATTTCAGTCACCATTAACTCATGCATTCAAAAAAGTGACTTGAAAATTTATGAAATTTCTATAAATATAAATATTAAATTTGAAATATGAAGCGGAGAGAACACAAATATAATCGCGAGAAGTTTAAATAGTGGCGAATAAATATAAAGAATTCATGAAATCGCAACAACCAAAAATTTGATCATTGTTGTTTAAAAAAGGCGCAAAAATGACAGCACATTGTTCGCTTTCTTTTTTTCCATAATCAGAAAGTAGTAGAAGTAAAAAGTTTGGAGTATAAATATGAGCTTTTTGTGGATAAATTACCAGCTCCATTCCTTTCCTCTGAAAAGATAATGTAATGCCATTTCCTCTATATGTATACTTAACAAAGGATTAAGAAATTGTAGTTAAAGTTTTGCTATGAGCATTTCTAAAACATTCAATTCTTCCAAGGAACTGCATGATTTATCAATCAGACAAATTGCGAGAAGGATGAAATGTTGAAGATGGGATTGCAATCATGACAAGAATGAATATTGTTTTCCATGGAGACAGTCTACAAATGAGACAATGAATCTCTTTAAGAAGCTTTTAGTAAATAAAGCCTTATAACCAAACAAATGCAACAAAATGTTATGGTAACTATTTGCAAATGAGCTCGTTCATTTTTCAACGAATTGTCGGTGAACAAATTTTATGACAGCATTCACTTTTTCAGTGAAATATAAGTTTAAAAAAAATATGAGATGTTGTTTCAAATAACTAATACTTTGTAAAAACTAGAAATGGATGTATCAGTTCCAGAACTGGAATCTGCTTTGCTTAAAGCTTGTTACAGGACGCCACGAACCAAAATTTGCTTCAGCTAAGTTATCTCTAAAAAAGTAATGTTTAAAAACTATTCAGGAGCAAACTGGATCCGTCTAGGGAGCAACAAGACTCGATGACATATTCCTTTATTTGTTATGTAAATAAGTGATTGGTTAAGGATAAGAAGAGGATCAAAAATATCAATAGATTATAAGGTACGAATAAGTAAACTTGGCTATGAAGGAATAGGATAGGCCAAGATTATACTTAGATTAGAAGTGATATCAAGCTTGCTTCGGATAAAATAAAAGCTTTTTTTTACGTGACAAAGCAAAAAAATCATTTAAGATAAGTACAATGGTGTAATGAAATGTGATCAAAGACATGTGACATCTGTCAGGAATAATTCTCTCCGAAATGTATCCAAGAAGTCTTGATGAGTAGAAGTTGAGGCTTGAGGCTATATGCTTATATACGTTTATAATGAATGTTTACTTATTTGAAATGATATTACTGTTGCTCAGGAAAAATCAAAAAGGATTCCACGTGTGTCGGGAAAATTCTTTATAAATGAAATTTTAAAAGATATCTGTGTTAGTAGAAGCTCACAATGGTGACACTGCTATGATGTCTTTTAAGAGGTAGTTGAAAAACAATGATGCAATTATGATAGTCGATATAAGTTGAAATACATTTATAGTTTTCTAATTCTTTTTAATAAATCTTTCGAATTTTCTGATGTTATCAATAATATAATAAATCTTTCTCAAAAAAAAAAAAAAAAACTAGTGACATCAAGAAACATTAAAAAAGATTTCGCTGCCAGCACTGATAATAAAAAGAATGATACACAAAGGAATTAATCGAAGTGAATGGTATGATATGGGAAATCGAAGATCAGATGAAGCTGGTACTGCGTCTGGAATTAGTTCAAGATGTCTAAAAAGACCGAAAATCAATTTCAGAATTTTATTTTTGGCTTTTGATAAAGAACCATACTTCATATGCAGAAGTTTTTCTATTTCATATGAAATTTGGAGTTCCCATTACATAGGTTCGGTAATTTTTTTCATTAGTTAATGAATATCGATGCCACGTAGGTACTTTCTCGAGAGAGCTTCGTTCATGTTTGAGCTACGCCAGCAGACCCAAAAGTGAGTATGGGTAACGATGTCACATTGCCATGTCGCTAATTAGTGAATCATTGAACTATCGATATCCGACATCACTCCAAATTGCAGTGTTTACCGACAACGGACGAAACCGTTGCATTCTGTCCGTACGACATACTTCCGAGTATTCAGTTGGTAGGTGTATGCAAGTACATCTGTGTGTTATTGTTTACATTTACATACAGTACTAACTACTCTAAATCGGCCTTTGGGAAAAGAGAACGCTCGCTATTGTCTACAATCCATCAATCAACGTTTGGAGTGAATAATCATAGGTAATTAATTAATCGATAGTTCAGGTTTCAACAGTTAAATCGAACATATTCCGTATATCATCTATTTTGGCCATATATATGACATATATTAAATCGCTCTTAGTTATAGTCTATAAGTCTCTGAGACTGTAGCCGGTAATTCAACGAGAGATGAATCTGGTAGAGATAATCATCGTTTTATCATCATTACCATCATCAGCATTATCTGAATTATTCAAATGCTTGAAGAGCTGTGTTAGTAAAAGGAATAATGAATTTTTGCTTTGATATGGACGATTGTTTTGTGGAGTGGGTGGCATTCCTTTATATTTCCGCAGTAGGTGAAGAAGACTAGTTCCATATTTGATTCTTGAAAATGTGCATGTTGAATAGCGTTTGGAGGAATCATATAGATATTTCAAGAACTTCAAAACGGACAGATTGAGCTGAAGTTGATTAGGGGTGCAATAATTCCATTCAGCTTCCTTCAATGTTAAAGTAGTTTTAAATATATCTAAATAAGTAGTTTCAAACTGTAGAAAAGTTTCTATTCTTAGTTTTAAAGAAGTAGTTTTAAATATATGTATGTATATTTTAGATGAACTTTTAAATATATAGGAGAGGAAGATTTCTATATTATTATAGTCTGCAAATAGAAGTGACCTCAATGAACTTAAAAGCTTTGGAGAAGCTCAAGGACCTTTACCGTGATATTGCACAGGTAGTTTTACCTAATTTATTTCAAGCAAGTCTTCACTGCATTTATTTTTAAAATGTCGACTAATATGGTTTTTCATTTCTACATCACTATATTGTCTGTTTTAGGTACCTTTACCGCAGAATGCGCGCTTACGATGTCAAGGCAAATATTTTGAAGTATGCTTATCACTTCTCTACTTATATTTTATTTCAAAATACCTGATATTCCATGATCTTGGTTGCTGGAAGAATCATATTTTTCTTCTTTTTTGTTTTCATTTTGTCCACTTGTTGAGATGTGGTAAAGACCAGAAATCAAATCCATTGACCCTGACTGTAAACACGCTTGTCTTAAATTTATGGCTGTTAAAGATCGGATGGAATAAGATGTGCTTGCTGTCCGGAAGTTGCAAGTAAAACAGTGGGCGCTAATTCAATATTTTCCGGTACTATTTGTCTGGACATTTTACTTCACTGAATTAAAGTATATCCTTTTAGATTTCTTCAGTTTGGACGAATCGCTCAGTAGAGTTGAAGAAAACGGTGAAAATGCAGCGTTCAAGTTTGATCGTACCAAAAGCTGGTGAACCGAATATGTACGAGCTCATTTCGACAATATCACTACCTCTCACTGGCATAGAGTGATCTTTTTTACATCTCAGTTAGTGGATTAATATATATAGAACGGAGGAAACTGAATATTACTCTCAGTAAACTTTCTCGAATGGTAAGAAAATTAAATTAAGGAATTTCTGAGACAAAGCATTTCACTAATATTTCCTTTCTAAATCTAAAGAGTGAAACAATACATTAAGATTTTTAAGGTTGTTTTTTATTTTAGTTAAGTATTTTTTTAGGGAAGAACTAATAGCTTTTTCCCACAGCGATTCAAGATGCGCCACGCTTATCACTTTACCTGATGGTAAGGAAAAAAAGCAATACATTAAGGTCTGTTAATTTTGAATTTTTTTCATGAGCAAGAAGATGAACTCTGTTCATGTGCATTATAATATAATTTATGACTAATTTATTGGTTATGACCGCTTTTTCGACATTCCTCATGACATTTTTTTGTACACAGTTTAGGGAAAGAAATAGGCATCAAGGATTAAATCCAGTTTGGGATTCTAATAAATTTGGTACAACTGTGGTAGACGAAGCAACATTAAATTTTTGAATTTTTAGGTATTTGATCAAAGGGAGCATATTGAAATTTGCTGTACTGATTTAACATCACCAAAAAAACATGGTCTGATTTACATTGATGGTAAGTGATCCTTTTAAACTTTTTCAAAATTACTGGCTAGTTATTCGCATAATGTTAGGCAACCAGGGACTGCTAGAGGAGAATGATGTAATTGTAACCGAACCTCGTCTTACATTTCAGTACCGGAATGAATATTCGCTGAGTTGGAAAAATGCTTTTGCATTAACCAGAAAGAAAGACATTAAAAGGTAATGGACGAAATAAATATAAGGACTAAGCTGAAAAAATTGGAATCCTTATAAATGAATAATTCTTTTTAGTGACATTGTTACATCTCTTTCTTTCTGTCATTTTGCCATACTACAGTGTTTTTATTTATCTTCACGTTAGAATTTTGATGGTGTATTATCACCTCACTGAAATTATCTCATTTTCATTCCTCTTTCTAAGATTATCTGCGGCAGTAAGAAATTGTTGAGACCAATTATTTTGGAATTTCATTTCCCATATCTCAAGTTCAATTTAATATTTCACAAAACGGTATTTATTCAAAATATTTTTCAAAAAAAAAATATTTTGCAGAAGAATTCGGTGGTTTGAAATGGTCCAATGGCGAGGGTCATTTGTTATATGCGGCCGAAAAATTTGTTAAAAAAAAGGAATACTACGATACCGAATTGGACTGGGCTAACGAAGAGAACTTCCTCAATTTTAATGTTGTCGGTTAACTTAGCATCTATCAATGGATAATTTTTTGATGTTGTGTTTTATATTAACTGGCCTGGATTTTAGGAGGTTAACTCTGATAAGGATGACTACAGCTATAATTTTTTCGCCACTTTCTGATTTTATCAATGACAGCTGTTCAGCAATGGAGCTTATAAACATTACTGTTGCTTGTTGGGTAGTATAATATATTGGAGGCATTTAAATGTCTAAGTCGGAAATGTTTTGCAGTTCAAAATCAAAAGTCTCTAAAAACAATTTCATTATAACCTCACCAAGTATAATGGAATGATTTTGCTCGCCAATTAAATAATAGCAATCAAAATAGGGCGATAAGTATGAGCTTATTGAAAACTGGGGCGAACAACGATATGAAATTCGGCAACCAGTGCTATCTGTATTTGACGTTATGAGTGGCAATATCACCGTACTGGATCAGATGCCTGACTCTATCACTCCTACTTTTGTTAGTTTCAAGTTTCGGTGCTTTTAAATAAATCTTTTTGAATACATTATTAATAGGAATGTGATGTTGGGAAATTGTGTTTCTGTTGAACTCGTTTCTCGGTAATACAGATTTATTCAGGGTGTAATATTGTTCTTGCACAATATTACTAGTTAACAACAAGAAAAAGGGTATAAAATAGGTATGTATATAACACGATGAATTGGTAAGCAATAATAAATGAGTTATACAAAAAGCGAGTAATGTGATCAACTAACAAACTCCTTGTCGTTGCCTTGGACAATAATTTGATTGTCGGTTAGTTGATAGGTCGTTGAGTTGGGAATACGTTACGGGCAATGTATTTAGTGAATAGAAGAATATCGTAGTTTGTTGTCCAATGGTGGCGGATATGCGAAGATATTGTTGCTTGTGGGTTAATTGCGGAGGATAAGCGATGAGGATGTATCGTCTCCTCGATTGTAAAAGTGAACTCAACTGTCT